CATGCAGTCTTTCTTAATCAGCCCCTTCAGACCTGGGCTGAGCTGTCCTGGTAGCAAGTGGTCTGGAAATGCAGGACTTCACTGGGCTTAGGGTGCAGGGCACTGTTGGAAGGGAGCTCCTCTCCTGGCTTTTCCGTGCACTCTAGCGATGCCAAGAATCACAAAACTGCTGGAAAGAAGGTTTTCTCTCTCACCTGATTTCTGATATGCCCTAACTTTTATTTGAGCAACTTAATTGACTTGACAGGCTTTTAATCTTGTTACCCTAGAATCATAGTCCTCTGTCTATCATCACCATGTAAAATAACATGCACAGTTCTGCTACAGTACTTTGAAGAGCAGATGTGTTGATTGGCTTTTATTCTGAAGGTGCTGAAGGAGATGGATGTTTCAATTTCCTAGGATTTGGGTGCATGGTGCTGTTAGGCTTTGAATACTTCTGATTTCAGTTGCAAGTGTTTAATATTAATTAACAACAGTGTGATGTGTACTGTGTACTTACTGGTATGGCAAAGCATATGGGACAGAGTGTAAACTGTTGCACATTTTTCAGAGGTGTGCTTACAGACTGCTATTTCTGCATTTGCCTGGCTGGAGGTTGCCTTCCTGCTCTGCATGCAAGGCTGGGCTGTCCCCGTGGGAATTGCTGTGAGTCTCTGGGCATTAAACGTGCCAGCCGGAGAGGTCAGTTCAGTGGTTGCCATCTGCCATCCCCCTGAAGTGGCTGGGGAGAGCCGAAGGAGAGGGACAGAGAGCCTGTCTCAGCTGCTGAGCAGGTGCTTGTCATTTGGAGATTGTTTCCTTGCAAGGCTTTTTCTGCCCCTGGAGTAGCTGAAGAGGCAGGGAAGGTGGCAGTAAGGAAATAAAGGAGCGGAAGATAAATTTCACTTTGTGGCCTGGCAACGCTCATGTGCACTCTTAACCTTGCCTTTCTGCTAGGTTTCCCTTTCCCCTCTTTCCCTGTTCCACATTGGTGCTGCTTGTTTGGCTTGGCTGGGAGCACTGTGGAGACCAAGTCCTAGTGGCCACCTCTAACCTTGTTTGCATCAATCCTTCTAGCTGGAAACAATGAGAAACAATAGGAAAAAAACCTGAAGGTCCAAATGTATACAATTTTATCATGACATCTGCACTGTGTCTTTTTTTCACACAGTTTGTTCTCCTTGCTCTTACTGTGGTCCTGCTTGGTCATCCCTGTCCACAAAACCCTGATAGTTTACAGCAAAGACAATTTTGGTGAATCGCATGACCTGTATAAAATATTAAACCCCAAATATTGGACATGGTAGTATGGAAAACTACAGCTTTGAAGATTTGTTCTCATAGTCCCATCTACTTATGGCCAAGCAGAACACACATGGAGAAAAAGAAGTTGTGAATTTTGGATGTCATTAAGGGTCTGCGTGAATGAATAAGGGGCTTTGGGGAGCATGCAAGCTGATCACTTGTGTGCCTTCAGATACACTGCAGTGGCACTGCTGCTACCCCCCACCAGGCTGCTACAGGCAGAAAGCAGTGCTGTCTCAGCTGAGTAGTTAAGAGATGGTCCTATGGGGCCTGGGTGCTTGGCAGGTGAGGAGATCGTGTGATCCACATGACCCCTGAGTGCTTGAGAAGTGAGACAGACATAAACATGTCTGTTACTGAGCCCATCTGTGGGGTACCCCTCGGAGCTGAGGTGGTTGATCTTTGTCAAGGGGAAGGGTTACCTTTCGATTGCTTTGCAGTCCTTTGCAGTAGGAAGGCTGCCAGTGTTGGTTTCTTCTTCAGAGTGATGCAGCAGCAGGCCACAGTAAACTGGACAGAATTAGAGGTTACAATATTCTGAGATCAAGCAAAGCAAGGGTAGATTAGCATGGTATAAAGCACACTATGTAATTGGGGCTGAGATTATGCTGTCTAGGAAAACCAGCAGCAGCAAAATTACCAGTGGATGGTCCTTAGTGTTACCAACGTGTTATTGCCATTGCAATGGAGTTAAGTACTACTTTATTAAAATAACCGTCCTGTTGCATACTCTGCTGTTTCTATATTTAAGTTATCCTTGATTCAGTTCAGCCCAATGGAGAACACCCTCTGAAAACTGCAGTTAGTTATGTAGTTATGGAACTATGATTTTTTTTTTTTTAATTAGGCCAGAATAGTCTAAGAATGGCCTGTGTAGCTTTCTAGAAAAAAACGTTTTCATTTCTGCTGATGTGTTCACGTAGAAGATGTGCAAGGTGGTGAATGAGGCACTAGGAAAGTAAGATGAGATGTGATTTTTTTGTAATGCATCTAAGAGAAACATAGCACTAGCCTGTATTATTTACTGTTAGTATAGTGTTTGCAAATATATTTTTTAATGTAGAGTATTAATTATTCTAATAATTCTCTGTTAACATGAAGTAGTGTACAAGTAGTGCATTGGCACCACACAGCCTACCTGATTTTAAGTGCCAGTTTAATAAGTTAATATGTTTTTCTTTCCCCTGTATTTTTGAGAACACTTTGAGTGTACCCAGGCGATATTTTTTATGTAAATCAGATTTTATTTGCCCCATTTCACCAAAGGAATAAACATCGTGACCTAAAACTTGCGGGTGTGCAAGTGCATGTTTTTGATCTGCTGTGCTGACTGAAGATTTGCAAAGGGATATTCCATGCAACTTGAACCCAGTGCTAAAATTACTAATACATGGCAGAGAGGTGTAAGCTAGTATGTAGCTGGCTAAAGAGGTGCTGAACAAGGAGGTAGAGTTAATTGTTATAAGGAAAACCACACAAGTCATGTTGCAGCAGAATTTGGGTTCGTCTCAGTGTATTAATTTTATCACTAGCTCTTTGTTTGTGTTTTGATTTAAGAAAGGATTGAAAAAGTGACAAAAGCATATGTATATATTACTGTTTTTCAAGACAGCAATCACTGACTGCCGATATAAATCTGTTCTGATGGCTTGGGGGAGATGCAAAGCTATTTTTGAACAGTTAGTTATTTGAGCTGTTCACTTTGCTTAAATAATTATTTTTTTTTTTAATGACTGAGCTGGTAGTTAATCATGCCAGTCCCTGCAGTTGAATAGAAAAATTGGGGATGCTTTCCAATACTGGTAAGCACAGGTGCAGGTGTTACTGTCAAAACAGCTTTGCAATAGCTGATGCCTAAGTGTATGAGCAAATGAAGAGAGGAGAAGAAATTGCTCGTAGGAAACCCAGTGTGTTTTCTGGGGAAGGTACAAATTCAGTACCCCATGTCTGCCTGACACCAGGCAGGGGCTGTCAGGACTCTGCCTTCAGTTGGGGAACATAAAATGGATGGATGTATCCTGGGCCCTTTCATCCTTTCACTTCGGGGGAACATAAAATGGATGGATGTATCCTGGGGCCTTTCTACCTCACCTCATCACGCCTCCATCATGCACATTGCTCCCCTCCTCCAAAATAAGGAGTCTGGGCAGATGCATCTCCAGGCAGGCTGGGCAGCAGAATTGTGTGGACACAGTGAGGTGGTCAGGATGGAGATGGAAACACTGTGGTTTTGTAGATGGGACAGCTACACCATGTATGCAAGCTGGCCAACTTCTTGTCTCCGCCTATTAGGAGAAGATGCAAGTATGCAAAGCCACGTGTTTACTAAAAAACTGTTGTTAAGGAAATATCCAGTAACTGCATGGAGCTGTCTGGTGAGATATGATATGGAACCTGTCATAGTCTTGCAATGGAGCTCTTGCAGTAGGAGCTGGAGCATGAAACCAGAATGATAGCACATGTACTGGGAGATGGAACTGGGTTGGTTTAGATTTTTTATATTAGGGGGTTTTTTTGTTGGGTTTGTTTGTTTTTTTGTCATATGGGTGCTTTTTTGCTTGATGTTGATTGGTTGGGGACTTTTTGGGGTTTGTTTGTTTGGTTTTGGTGGTTTTTTTTCAGTTAATGTGAACCTCAGGTGTGCTGGTATACTGCATCCATAGTTGGAGTGCCTTTATGTTTATAGTGGGCTGGTATAGCCTCTGTATGTATGTGTGTGTATATATATACACACATTCTTAGAGCAGTTTTATCAACCTGTATTTCTGGTACAGCCATGTTGGCCAAAACTGTAGGTACAGTGAAGCTGACATGGTCACACCAGCAGAAAAAAAATAGCTTTTAGCATAACATAGTTTGCTAGATAATGATACCTTTGAAAACTGTGAGCAAGAAGGTGCTTTTTGTTAGTGTAATGCCTCTTAAAGCATGGGTAGCCTGTTAGACCATGCATTCTGGGTGGTAGTTTTAATTAGATGTAATTTTATAATTTTTTTCATTTAGGTAAAAGTTCAAAGCAAGTGGTCAGCCGTTACTGCTGCAACAGGTCTGAGGTGCCACCCCAGCAGATGGTCCTTTCCTGTTGAGAGCTGGTCTCACCACCACCTGCTCTGCAGGGGAGCCATTGTTAGAGCAGGTCTTTTGGACCTGGGCAGCTCTGTGGGCCCCAGATGATGAACCAATGGGCTGGCCAGATCTTTCCCTGATGGAAACAGAAGGCAACACTTGGGAATGGCTGTGACTTCTAAAGGCTTCATTTGCACCGAGACCACACCTTCCCTTTACACTGATTTAAGATTTGCAACTTACTTTTTTTTACATTTTGGGCACCGATGGCAAATGCTTATAAGTAGGGTCAATTTACAATATAGTAAGTACAACTGAAAACTTAAAATGTGAGAGCTGAATGGATTAAATTTTACATGTTAGGGTCTTTTGCAGATTTCAGATGTTGACATCAAAATAGCCAGTATTTCTGCGTCCAGTTTGGTGTTTCAGGGTGGATACAGCAGTTTCCAAGTACTTACCAGTTCTGATTATCAACTGGGAGGGGTTAACACGTGCTCCTGAGATTACTGGGGGAGCTCTCATTAGTGACCACAGTATTCTTGCACAGTGTGTGGATGTTACAGCCCTGCCTGTGAGCTTGGTGGGCTATCTCTGAATGTGACTTTGAAGGTTTGCATTGATTTCTGACCATCTCCTTTGTTACAGACCAATAAAGCTAAATGGGTCCAGTCACTGGAATGACTCCAGATAAGAAAGCTGAAACGCCAGGAGCAGAAAAAGCTGCAGGACTACGTCAGTGTCATGGGATGGGAAGCTTGCCTGATGCAGGTGATGCTGGCAGGCCAAAGGCCACTGTGGTGGACAGAGATTCGGCAGATGACGAGCTCACAAATTTGAACTGGCTTCATGAAAGTACTAATCTTCTAACAAACTTCAGCCTCGGAAATGAGGGTCTTCCCATCGTTAGCCCCTTATATGACATTGAGGGTGACAGTGTGCCATCCTTCTCGCCGTCTTGCTACCAGAACCCCGAAAAAAAATCCTCCACTTCCAAACCCCCTTATTCTTTCAGCCTTCTCATTTACATGGCGATTGAGCATTCCCCCAACAAGAGCTTGCCAGTGAAAGAAATCTACAGCTGGATCCTGGAGCGCTTCCCGTACTTTGCCACAGCACCCACTGGCTGGAAGAACTCAGTCCGACACAACCTTTCCTTGAACAAGTGTTTCCGAAAGGTGGAGAGAAGCCATGGCAAGGTGAGACTTGGCAGGAGGGAGGACCAAGTTTGAAATTCAGAGGGAAATTGAGAAAACTATTGTTCTCAAGGACTTTTTGTTTGGTATTGTTTTCCCCTCCAAGTTCTCTAACACTTTATTTGCAGCGGGAGATAGTTTGGAAATGCCACTTCTGACAAATCACAGCATGACAAAAGCTTCTTGGTTTTGTTATTTAGTACTGACCTAGGTAGAGCTACCTATAACACATCCTTTTTAAACCCAGCTAACATGCTATTGCAAAGGGCTCTGATTCCACTTAATGTATAATTTTATTAGCCTGCAGTAACCAGGCTGACATTTCAGGCATCTGTCTTAGGATGTCTTTTTGCTGAAGCTTCTTAAACTTGTGCTCTCTCTATTTTCCCATGCCGAAATTTTGGGGTGTGTTCATCTGTCCTTGCTTTTCCAGCACAGCCATGGCTTTGATTGCATCGGGAAACAGAAGAGATCGTGGGGTGTCAAGCAGCTCCCTGCTTGGTTAGCACGGGTGTTTCCCATTTGGGTGCAGATGCAGTTTTCTGCAGGGTGCCCTTACTTGCAGGCACGCTGTATGTATGTGGCTGAGTGTTGCTCAGTCTCAAAGCTGTTGAGAAGATTAATCTGACATTTTCACCTGTGATCTTCTCTTACGCTTAGCACAGCTCTAGCTTTTGAATAACCATCTTAATGCTTGCTTTTAATATTTCTTATAGCATCTGTCATAACATATCAGTGTGTATCTCTACATGGTGCAGACACAAGCTTCACTTCTTAAAGTCAAGGTTACTCTTTTCTGTACAAATTCTTTCACGTACTGTTTTGTATGTTTTTACTAGTTACTTTCTTTCCTCTTCTCTCATTTCCCATCCTATTCCTCAAAGAGCTGCCTCTGACTTAAACCAACAAACCACATACCAAAAGTCAACAAATAAATCCTGGACTCCTGGGCTTGGAGGTCAGCCCAAGTGGTAACAGGCTTGTTACCAGAAATACATGCAATGCTTGGTGTGTGTGACAAGCCTCCTGCTATAGGTAGAGGACCTGGAGCTGAGTGGGCATCAGGAAGGACTACCTCTACCTCAACCTCAACTGAAGGTCACTTTTTACTACTGTGTGGCAAGTCCAGTAACTCCCCCATAGCAGAGTCTTTCTGAGTTGTGGGATGGGCTTTTAATGTGGCTCCAGGTGCTGCAATGGAGTAACTGAAATGCTGCTGTAGAGCTTTCTAATTCTTAAGAACAGAAACTGCATTTACCAAGAAAACCCAAACAACCACCCCAGAAAAGCCCCTCCTGGCACTTTGGAAAGCTTCCCTTTTTCCAACACACAGTAGTTATATTTTTACCCTCTGTCCTGCTTAAAAAAGGACCATGTGAGGGTACTGCTCCAAATTTTGCCTGCAAAATAAGTCCATGGCACACACAGACTCCATGGGGAATGACAGGAATGCTGCAGACCCCTTTGGATGAGCTCCTCAGGTGTCAACTCTTGCAGGACTACCTTGTAGCTTGCAAGCTTGCCTTGCTCAGGGCCTTGCCTGTAACCATGGCTTAGCAGTGCCTCTGGGTGCGCCTCCGAGAGGGCAACTTTATTTTCTATTTTCTTCCATTTTATAATTTGTTAATGGCATCTTAATTGTGTCTCTAAGGGAGTACATAGACAGCTTTCTTCTCTCTGGGGTGGCCATGGAAGCCGAAGTGCCTGTGGCATGTTGCTTGAGACGAGCATGTTTTATTTTGTAATGTCAGAGTAAGAAGGGTTTTAAAGCCTTTCAGATCAATATGCGCTCTCATGTTGGAAGAGTGTAAATATTTGACAGAAGGGGTGGGTCTGTGCCTCCCCCCCATCCCGGGGCAGGCCACTTTCTGACACCTCCCTGGCTATTGTTGTCAGCCCTCAGCTGTGAAGCCATCTCTTGGAGGTCTGGCAGCAAGAGTAGGAAGAGTCTTTCCTCATGTTTGCTGTAACACTAATATTTTGGTTTGGACTTAACATTTCAAAGTGAATCTCCTGATTTTTCACAGAATTACAGAATCACCAAGGCTGGAAAAGACCTTTAAGATCATCAAGCCCAGCTTATGACCTAACACCACTACTTTGGCTACACCATGGCACTAAGTGCCACATCCAGCCTTTCCTCAAACACATCCAGGCACGGTGCCTCCACCACTTCCTGGGAAGTCCCTTCCGATGTCTAATCACCCACTCTGTGAGGAAGTGCTTCCTAATATCCAACCTAAACCCACCCTAGAGCAGCTTAAGGCCATGCCCTCTTGTCTTGTTGCTAGTTGCCTGGGAGAAGAGCCCAGCCCCCACCTGACTACAGCCTCCCTTCAGGTAGTTGTAGGGAGTGATAAGGTCCCCCCTGAGTCTCCTCCAAACTAAACAACCCCAGCTCCTTCAGGTTATCACCTGTAGAAATGGGAGAGAGTGCTACAAACCTTTAAGTGAATATACAATATACCTCCATGCACGTGCACGGTAATTTTCAGTGGTTCACTAAGTCAAGGGGAAGCAGCTGGAGAGAACTGCCCATACCCAGTGGGTCCAGGGCCACTGCCCAGGATGGAAGCTCATTGAGGGCTTTCTGCAGTATGGGGACACATGTCTGCCTCTGCAGCAAGCAAGAGCCACCTGCATTGGCTGAGTTGCTCTGTTTTGGACACTCCTTTGGCTTTCCTCGCTGGTCTGGTCGTTCTCAGTGGTCATACTTCACTGCTAGCAGAGGAGGGACTGTGGCTGGGTGGTGGTAAAGGATAAGGCTGCACTATGGGGGGCATCTTGTTTCCAACCCATGTTGCAATAATGGAGCCCTGGAATGCTGGAGACTGGGAAATTACTGTTTTTGTGAAATAGTTCAGTGCTTCAAAAGGCAGAAATTATTTTCCTCATTTTTCTCTATTTGGCTAGATAAAATCCTGCAAGTCAAGTAAGAAATGTTAGAAGGATGCAGAAGAGTTGATAAACCAAAACAAATAATTTCTGAACAACTGAATTGCCTGCTCTTTTTGAGGTGGAGGGTCAAGATGGTCTGGTGGCTGCTCTGCGCTGACTCTGGGGGGACATTTCAGTAGATGGCAAACAAAAGGTACATCTACATTTTAGCTAGCACATCAACAGTTGCCCCACTGTTGACATAAGACAGTAACTTTGAAAGGTAGTTTAGCATTTTGCATCACTTAGCCTTTGTCTTTGCTAGGAGAAATGGCATTGTCTTTTCCTGTTGCTGTGGTTAGAGTGCTGATTTGTTTTAAAGCTGGGTGTATCTATTTTATGGTGTTTTCAGCTTCAGTTGCCCAAAGCTTTCCCTTAAAGCGTGTAGCTAACTTCAGACTGTGGTGGCTTTCTACTATGTGTCTTTGTTAAGCAGCAGATGAGTGAAAGGAGCAGCCCCATAGGCATAATCTCTTTTGCTCAATGTCTCCTTTTAGTACAGGTAATGGTAGGTGGAAGCAGGTTTGGCTTTACACCTAACTCAGTCTTACTGCCCAGAGAAGTCATCGTGTTCATGGCCTTTTGTGTTCAGTTGAGTGTCTGCATGGCTTCAGGGTGTGTCTTAGCTGTTGCTGTTGCAGTGCCCACCCAAAGTCACTGTATTATGTTATCAGCAAACTGGCTGTGCAGATGAAAGAGGTAGACTAACCCCCTTCTGGCTGCAGCCAGCAGTGGAACTGGGTTGGGTGTCAAGTGCTGATTGGATGCTCGATGCTCACCTAAAGTAACAGATAAAATAACGTGGAGTAGGGATGTCCTGGTTTGGGGAGTTCTTGCTGCTCAGTGAGGGCTGGAGCCTCAAAGCTTCTGAAGTGGAGGAACAAAAAGCCAGAGTTAGACAAGGATCTTTTACAAGGGACAAGTAATGATCTGGCTTGCTAGCCAGGGAGAAGATCTGGCTCTGGGAGATGTGTGGGGCAGGGATCAGGGCATTAGTCTGTCACAGAGATGGTGGATGGAATCAGTTGGGAGGATATTCCTTATTAGTACCTAGCTGGTCAAATCATCCTGCCAGTTCTCATGGTAAAAGAACTGGCTGTTTTATTGAAAGTAACCTTCTTGTTAGGTATCTTACAGGCTGTCCTCACTTTTAGCATTGAAAGAGGAGTATAACATTGAAGTTAAAAATAACTAACTCAGAGATGCTGCAGCTCAGAGATGTTTTTGAAAGGCTGTGGCTAAACTGTAGTAACGGAGCAGCATCTCTCTTTCTCAGATGGAGCTCTCTCTGATTTGATATTTCACTATTTCACTAGCAAAAGATTTGTTCTTTCCAGGAAAAGTCCCGTGACTTACATAGGACCACAGACTTACATGCTTTGTGGGTCCTTTGCAGTCTTAAATAAGTCATGGAGTATCCATCCATAAAATGGTGTTAATACCCCCTCGGTACTTTGGTACTGGCAGGAGAATGCCAGCTTGCAGGTTGTGCTCCACAAAGCTTGGATTTTTGCTCTGAGACTTAAAAAAAAAATAATCCTATAAAAACATCTCCCTGTCCAGTTGTAGAGCTGCCCCAGCCTTCTGCCATGTGCCCTGTAACATGTGTCCCCCAGAAAACCTGATGTGGTTTGGGCCTAACAGGACAACAAAGAAATAACCAGGTGGCTGCTCACTCAGCTTCCCACCTCCCACACAGACACACACACTGTGGGATGGGGAGGACAAGGGCCAATTAGAAGCTCCTGGGTCGAGACAAAGGACAAAGGAGGGTTCTTCACCAGTTAAGGTCCCGGGCAAAATAGTCTCAACTTGGGAACAAAATAATAATTTCACACTCATCAAGCACACACAGGACACAGACAACACACAGAGCAGGGCTTGCATATGTTACCCCACCCCTCCCTTCTTCCCGGGCCCAAATCCCTTTGTTCCCAGTTTCTCTCCCTCCTTCCCCCCAGCAGCACAGGGGGACAGGGGATGGGGTTTGGAGTCAGTTCACAGGCTGGTGGTTCCTGCCATTCCTTCCTCCTCAGGGAGAAGGATTCCTTACAGTCCTGCCCTGCTTCCCATGGGACAGAGTCCTGCACAAACCTCTCCTTCATGAGTCCTTCCCACCAGGTCCGGAGCTGCTCCAGCCTGGGCTTCCCACAGAGTCACGGGCTGCTTTGGGAACAGCCACCTCCCCTGGTGCCGCGGTCTTCCAAAACTGCATAATCCAGGTCCACTGGCAGCAAATCTGAGTCCACTGGCCACAAAATCCAAGTCCCCTGGCCAAGTTCACCCCTCCTGGCACCTCCAGGGAATGTTCCACCACATTCCTCCACGAGTGCAGGGGCACAGCTGCCATCTCACCATGGGCTGCAGGGAAACTTCTGCTTGGGCACCTTCTTCCCCTTCTTCCCCACCAACCACCAGCACAGCTCTTCTCCCTTCAGTCCTTCACTGCTCAGGTGTTATCTCAGTTCTTTCGTATGTTAATGGCAGAGGTGCATCTATTGTCCCTCCAATGGCTCCTTGGCTGGGTTTGGAGCAGGGGGAGCTTCTCAGCTTCTTCCTAGAGCCATCCCTGGGGCCCTTCCCCCAGTGCCAAAAAAAAATCCCACCAAAGCAAACCAGCACATGCTGCTACCTGTAGAACTGTTAACTGATCTATCAGCTCAGAAATTACAGAATTGTTTTAACTTTTCCTATTTAATTTTTAAATTTATGTTGCAAGAACTAGCAGTCTTGAAATACTTCTTTCCTTTTTATAGTAAATATGTGAAGAAACTGTTGAGTGGAGCAGGAGGTGCTTTATCTTGTTTAACTTTTGGCATATCAAATATAATATAAAGAATGACTAGCACAATGGTGTTTACATCATTTGGGGCATCAAAAATGCATAAATTAGACTTTAAAATTTTGAACAAGTGGGAAAAATCCATTTTGTAACTTGGCATCTAGCAAGTGGATTTGGCACAGTGGTGTGAAATGAGATGAGTATGTGGCTATACCTAAACAAAGGGAAAAGCACTTTGGTTTCTTTCTTAGAAACCTGTTAAATGAAAGAATACTGTTCACTTCACAATGCCTGGAAAGACACTTAAGTTTAGAGATGTATTTTAAAAGTATTTAAGTAAGGTTTACAGCTTTCCACCAGCAAATTTGAATGGAAATGGTGCTTTAGAAGAGGAGCTGTGGAGATGCTATCCCAAGCTGCAATACAAGTGTTTCCATACTGTGTAACAGTCTTGGAACCATACACTTAGTTTGGGAGCATCTGTTTTCCATGAAGGCAGTGGAGCTGCCTGAGGATGATGTACATCAGCTGTGCAGTGGGGGGTGCCAACATCATTGCACTGTGCTGCAGTTTGGGAATATTAAATTTGGAATGAGTGTAACAGTCTGTCACCTGGATTTTCTAACTTGCAGCACTTCTTTCTTGCAGGTGAATGGAAAAGGTTCATTATGGTGTGTTGATCCAGAGTATAAACCTAATCTTGTCCAAGCATTGAAAAAGCAGCCTTTTTCCTCAGCACTTGCATTTTATACTCCGCCAGCATCACCACCAAGGTAGGTGAATTTTCTTATCTGAGTAGGATGCGTGGTTATCTTGCTCCACCCAGCAGCAGAAATGCCCACGTGGATGCTGATGTGTTGTTACTGGCTGCCACCCAAGAGCAGAATTTGAGTGGGGCTTAGGAGGGACCGCTAGATGAGGCAGGGGTACAGGTGTTAAGTTCAGGCTTCCCAGATAGCAGACCTGGCGTTCCTGTCCCAGTCATCTTTGTAGCTGTGGGAGTTTAAAAAAAGGTCATGGGTGTGCTGGGTGCTTACTGGTAAGCCCCATTTTTTTGGAGGGCAGGCAGTCCTGGGAAATGGAGCAAAATCCTCTTTCAAGTACAGTTCACTGGGACTGACCTAGGGTGCCTGGTGCTGCTATCTTGGCAAGAGGTGTCTTTTCCTGTAAGTCACTCATCTGTATATAAAATGTATATATTTGATGCTGTTGTCAAAAATTATCAGCTTTTTTTATGACCTGAAGTGCTTAGAGAGGCTGGACAAAGGGGGGTGTTTCCCTGCTAGCATTTTGCTGCGGGGATGGGAAGAGCAGCCTTTACTACAAATATACTCTGAGGTGGAGCATGCAAGACTTCTGAAATCAGGGCTTCCTTATGCAACACATTTTAAGATGAGACAATAGATTTTTAGAGAATTTCAAGTCAACATCATACGTCCTCAGTGGAAGGAGAGAAAGGGCAGCTGGGTCAGCTTATAGAGGCAGGATGGAGAGGAGGGGGACAGAAAGCAGTGAGGAATGTGTGGCTGTTGGTGAGCCTGGTTGTTAGGTAGGCACGTGGTTGGTTTATCTAGTTCAGCAAAGAATTTGGGTGAGATAAGAGACAATTAAAGTCTCTGTACATTGCCCTCTGCCTTAGCCTCACGGTGAGGAGTTTCCATAACAGGAGGAGCTGGGATTACTGGAACAGGATGTAAAACTGGTAATGTTGAGCAGATGTTTCCAAGGGTCCAGTGGACATCGACCCTGAGAGCTGGCAGCCCTGTGCAAGCCTGAGCTGTCTGGCAGCGGCTGGATGCACCGTGTGGGCTCTTCCAGGTGGGCTTGTCACCTGTGAGATGCAAAACTGTTCTCTGACCTCCTAGCTCTCTTGAGTTGTAAAGGGTCATCTCGGGTTTGAGTAAGCCAGGCAGAAATGTCCTGTTTTCCAGCTTTCTGCTGGAACAGGAGCATGACTAAAATAAATTGGAAAGTATGAAATGGCTGGTGATATTGTCAGGCTTTGTTTTATGGAAGCAAAGATTGTTGAAACAATGTAATTGGACTCTCAGTGATAATGTTTTTACAGGCACTAATGTTTCTACAAAAGGGCATGGACTTCTGTTTTTCAGTACAACTCAAGTGAAGGTTTGGTCCTTGAAAGCTTCGTTTAAAAATATTATATTTTCATTATAATTATATTAATTATATTTTACTATATTAATTATATTTTATTTACTTATAATTTAATTTTAATATTTTAATTTTTTACACTGTCTGTGTAAACACAGTCAAACTTCAAAATTTAAGGAGTAAAACAGATGGGAGGGACCTTTGGATGTTTTCTGTCCAGCCAGAGGAGCAAAGGGTCAGGACAGACACAGCCTAGGACAGGTTGTTCAGAGCCTTGACCAGTTAAGCTTTTAATGATTCCACAGTCTAACGATACAAGCACTGAAGTATGATTTACCTAACTTGTATAAATTAGACCATTCTGAAATTAGGTGTAGGGAAGGAGAGATTTTGTCTGAACACTGAAGTACTTGCAGGGGCAGGATTTCAGTTTGAAGCTGTTGTTTTCAGTAGCTTTTTTTTTGCATCACTGAAGGAGTAGTCACACTTACCAGCAATCACAATTACAAGGAAATTCTGGTCCTAATGAAGCCACATGGCAAAATTCCTACCAACTTCAATATGTGAGGGATTTTTCAGTGCTTGTATTTATAAGGACAACAACATAAACCCAACATTTTAAGATGCTCGACTTTTCCCTAATGAAAGCTGGTTTAATTTCCTTTAATAATAAATAACATTTGTATAACACACAGAAAAACAGATTTTGGGGTTTTTTTCCCCCCTTTCCACATTTAAAAAGTCTTTTATTAGATTTAAATTCTGGCCTAATTTTGGGTAATGGCCCCCTAGGGGCTACCTTGTGTCTGGAGAGAAGGAGAAGCCTAGATGCACAACTGGAGGGAGGCTGAAAGGAGAATTTTTTCTGTGAGAAAGCTTGTGTTCATAATTATTTTACAGTGTGTTTATGGGGAACATGCCCATCATTCAGCAGCACTTGAAAATAAAATTTAAGGAATTACTTTAAGCAGAAGCTTTCCAAAACTGTAATCTGTGTCTAGTATTATAATAGAAATATGAAACTTGTATTATCATAGATGATTGGCATCACTGGTGCATTTTATTCCTGCACAGCTTGTTCAACAAGTTGGTGCAAGGCCTCTAGCTGTGTTCTGTTTCTGGTACTAGATGTATCATATCCCTGAGCTCTGGGGATGGCCGGGGTCCTTGTCCTGCAAATAGCTTATCCATATGCATCATTTGTCTTAATCAATACTAAGAATTAATTTGCTGTAGGAAGGCTCTATTTGGTTCTTGAGGGTTCTGAGCTTAGACAAAAGGATGAAGATGTTAAACATCTTATTGGACAATTTGCCTGCAGACTGTAGAACCAGACATATTTGGTTGGGGGGGGGCACTGCTCTGCTTGCAAATTTTTATTTATTTATTTTATTTTCCTCCTGTTTTGATTCTGTTTCACTTGCACTCCATCACCCCCACAAGAGAACATACCAGACAGTGAATTCAATTTTTGCATGTTTTCTTTCAAGTCACTGGATCTTTTTCACATTGATTCCCACACTGGGAGATATTTAAATATTAATCTTCAAGAACTTTTTTTGCCAGTGCCATCCAGGCTACAGTCCTGCAAGAGCACCTTACATAGCTTGAATGATGCATTTCAAGCCACCTCTCCTTTATTTTTTAAAAATGTTTGTTAATATTTACATTTTTTTCCTCCTGTACTGTATCAACTTTTGGAGGTGTTACCAATGGCCCAGCTGAGTTTGGATACTATGAAGACAAGTTGGAGCAGACAGAGTATTAAATAGGCATCCCTCAAAAATAGCTGTGCACAGTAACCCATCTCAGGATTGTTAAGATGTGTGCACCCACAGCACCAGTCAGTGAGACATATTTTGTTCAAAATTCAACTTAAAGCATGAAGATTTTAGTTTTAAAAAGATATTTTAAAAGTGTAAATAATTTATGGTCTAGACCAGTAATTTTTTTTATTTTTTATTTTTTTTTAAAAGCACATAGCAGCTGTGGGTTTTGGGGGATTTGTGGCTGTGACTTATTTTGGAAAACAGAACTGCCTATAATTATGATAAATATAGAAAGTTAATACATCTTAATGATGGAAGTCATCCCATTAATCCTTTGAGGTTGCTGGTACAGGCTGGGCTTGAAAATTCTGCCCTTTGAATTTTTCTGGTGATACTATGAAAGATGGGACATTGCTATGTTTTATGCAATTATAATAGTTGTGAACTGTTTCTGACTCTTAGTACCTGAATAATTAAGGCTGGCTGTGTAGTAGAAAACCATGTGAAAGCTTTACCTTGCACCTTTATTCTGGTGCAAAGCTGGTCTGACAATGCAGAACAGCAGACAGCGTCACCAAAACAGCCCAGCTTCAGATAACTTTAAAATAATATTATAACTTGGGTTTGGTTCTTACCTGCTTTTTTGCACAATGCTATCTTTTGTTTTAGTTAACCTCCAGCCATTGTTTCTAAGAGCAGACAGCCACAACTAGTCCTTACCTATTCTGTTGCTTCTGGGCTCTAATAATCCCTATGTAAGATAATCTTTAGCTCACATATAGGTTTTACTTACTGAAAAATACAAATCTTTGTTTACAATCCAGCCCTTAGGCAGGTACATAAAATCTGCAGAAATTGGTATCTCTTGCCAGTAAGATTTTTGCTTAGTCCAGCAAGATTTTTGCTTAGTGTGTGTGTTTGGGGATGTTTTCCAAATGCTGATGATCACTTAATCGTGGTACATAAGCCATCAACCAACGTGTCAAGCCATCTATTGAGGGCAATAGAAATTGCTTGCCCACCAAACTGTGGTGATTGAGTGGTTTTGGTTTCATATTTCTGTGATCATGGTATTGTGTCTACTATACTTTGTACAAGTAATTTGGCTTATTAGGGCTTGGTTTTGACCTGTTGTATTTCTTTTCAGTAGGTCAGCATCACCTCACTACCTAGCCTCAGTCCTTCAGCAGACTCATGGCCGATCTCTCAAAGGTAAATGTTTGTTTCTTTTGCTCTGCTCCCCTGGGTTTAGTTGCAAGCATGTGCTGAAGCCCAGCTGATGTTGTTCAAGGACCTGCTCCAGAGGGTCCTAGATTACAAAAAAGCCCCTGATATGCATGCTCATTATACTAGCTACTTGTGTATTACGTTTGAATCCCTAAGATGAATCTCAAGATGTAAAAGGAGTTGTCTTGTTCTGCCAGCAAATTATTTAGCAGACACATCACTCCCAAATGTGTCCTACTTAAAGAATTAATAGTTCAGTAAAAAGCCCATCTGAAAGTCACGTACCTCTGCACTAGTTTTATTGGTTACCAAGAACTGAGAACAGAAGGCAGCAAATTGTAATGCATAAAACTTGTGGGGTGTGGCCATAGAAGTTCCATAAAGTTGGTTGTTTGATACAGGTGGCTGGGAGAGCATGACAGGACTTGCAGGGGAATGTGGAACAATTCAGAGTATTATTTTACAGCTCTTTGGTACTCTTCACTCATTTGCCAAAAATGTGAGCTTGAGCTGGTGGTGTCAGGAATTATGGGGGAAGACCTAAGTATTGGGTATTAACCCAGTTAAACAGAAAAGCCTCGTCACGTCTCTTTAGTTAAGGTATCACCTTAAAAATGGCAAAATGTTCATTTAAACTCCTGGGAGGGAAGAGTAGGATGGGTTTCATATATGGGCTCTGAATACAGGTCTTGATACTGTAGGCTGCAGTGCTGCTCCTCAGTCAAGTTTGTATCCCTCTCTGTTTCCTGCACAAGTAATGAAGCAGGTGCAGTGAAAAAAGTCATGTTCACAACCAAAAGCTTCTATGCTGTATAGATACTATTTTAACCTTAGTCTCCAAAATTCAGTGGAGAAAGATTCGATAGGACCGAGTCATACTTAGAATATAACTCTGGATGAGTTATCTTTTCTAGCCATGGCAGAAACTCATTACCATGATGCATGTCCCCATATAGCAATTTACATGTGTTTGTAGATGATGTTTCAGAAGATGCTCGTCCCTCATGGTTGTCCCTGCAGTAGCTGTCACTGCTGTTAGGGCAGTTGTTTGGCACTTGTAAACCTGCCTGAGGGGTTGGATAGGCAGCTGGAGCAGTGTGAGGCTAGCTGAGCAGGGGATGTCAGTGAGGACAAACCTGAGGTGGTATTGCTGCTGAGAAAGAGCACAGGTTTGGGGCTGGGGTTTTTTTGCTGTTTGTTTTCAGGGAATCACTGCTGAAGTGCAGCATTGCTGTCTTCCTGGTGATGCTTTCCTCAGCCCACTGGGATATACCTATTCTAAAGGTTTGAATGGGCATTAGAGTAATAAAGACTTGGCTATAACTCTGCCCTAGGCATTTCTGCTTTTGTCCTCCATGACAAAAAACAGCCAGCCAGTTTCAGATTTAAAAAAAAAAAAAAAGTAGTTAAGATGAAAATCTGTTACTCATCGACAGTCAAATGCAAGTGGAAGTACCAACAGGTGTTGAACAGAAGATGGTTACTTAATTTTCCCATATGTACTTTCTAAAAAGTTTTTTTCATGTTAATACATTTTAGTTGGTCTTAGTATCAGGAGGGAGCTAGACAGCATGTTGGAATACTGCAGCATTTCTTTAGAAGAAGCCTGTCAAACACAGGTCTTGTACCTCAGAAATGAAGCTTAATCCACCAAAGGCCTGTCCTCGTCAAAAATAACAATTTTTTTATAAGGGCTGAAAAGTGAGTAATGCCATGTTCAATCTTTTAAAGGGCTGATTCCAAGAAAAAGTGAACATGTGTTCATTTGTTGCAGAGAATTGTTGTTAAAGCTCTTTGAAAAGGATAATAAAAGGTCACCAACAAAGCAGGACTTGAGCAGCGCAGCAGACTCTGGTTTTATTAGCGTGGTTGGCTTTGAGATGAGAAGGTAGCTTTTACTTCTCAGCCACAAACTAGGAACATCGGTTAGTTAGCAAAGCCAAGGTTTTTTAAAGACAGAGCAGCTGTCTGGTCCATATGTTATAATTACCATGTGCCCAGACAGTTGTTAAGGTGGTACCCAGGTGTCAAAGAAGCATCCTGGGTTTGCTGGCTGCTGCAGGGTGGCTAGATCTGGGATTCTCAGGGCTTATTAGAGAATACAAGAGATCTCCCTCTGTGTAATGATTTTGCTGGTGTGTCCTGTGACAGGTTTGGAGATAGCCAGTCTGATGCTAACTATTCCCATTTGCTACACTGGAGGTGCTGAAATAATTTTGTGTATCTGCTGTCATTGATTTTCTGCAACTTGGTCAACCTGTTCAGCATCTCCCTGGCATTAGAGACAAGACATTAACGTTGCTGGGGTTGCATAGGGCAGCTGTGGTACAGATGAAAGAATTCCTTTTAATAAGGTGCTTCCTCAGCCATTCTGCTGGGATAGTATACATTTGGGAAATACTGCTCTTTTGAGTAGAGCAATTGCAAATGAAGCCAAAGCATATGAGCAGTGACACAGCATTGTGGAGAAGTTGCTGCAGAAGCGTCTCCTATTTTAGGGTACTAACATGCAGGAACACTATTTGCAGGTAGTGTTGCATTAATGCATCCAATTGCCTGTAATTGTAACAAGATTATGCTTATATACCAACATATAAACAAACTGTGATAGATAGCAAGTAAGGAATAGGAATATTTCATTTTCAGGTTATGATAGTGTGGGAGAAAGTAACTGTGCTTTTTTAAATTTCTTGTTGTCAGTTAGGTGCATTTGACTTGTAAATTCAGGGGCTCTATTAGAGCTAAAGAAAGAGAGAGCAGAATAAATAAATAATCTCATTAGTGCACTAGGACAGACCTTAAAATATGCTGAGTTTAAAATAATAGAGAGGGAAAACAAGGGGAAATGTTTATGTATGATAGTTCATGGTGGAAACAGCATCTCAGTCCACTTTCCATGTTGGTACAGCAGTCCCAAGGTGGTGTAATCTTCAAATTTCTTATAGAAGCAGAATCATTCTGGTTGGAAAAGACTTTTAAGATCATAGAGTGCAACTATAACCTAACTTTACCAACCATTAAACTAACTCTACTGAATCCAGTGCTTGAACCACATTTCTAACCACTACATCTGTATGTCTCAAACCTAGCTGGGCACCCTGTTCCAGCCAACAATCTCCTTTCAGGTAGTGTCCTTGACCATGGATGATGTTAGGGATAATTATACAAGATAAGGAAGCCAAATAGACAATTCTGTAGTTCGCCTCTCAGTATTAACCCTCCCTTTAAATTCGGTAGCATAGTTAATGCATATGATGGTGGCCAAGGGGGAAGCAATGCCATTGAAAATGACATTGCTGATATTCCACTTGAGCAATTCCCACACCAGTTCCAGTTTAGCAGGACTTGAGAGCCTGTTCTACTCAGTTCAGGCACCTTCCGTGCATTGTCTTCCAACCCCACTTCTCCACTCACTGATCATATATACATGCATGCGTACATTATGAACACCTTGGATGCCCTCTTTTGTGCAGAGACACCATGGGTCTTCTGAAAGCTGACCACCTATTTGCTTCTCTTCTGCTCTTCTGTTAGTCCACCATATACATTTAGTCTTGCATATTTCTCTCCTGTATAAGGAGAGGAATATATAGGCTGTCTCTCCATCATCCGGAGCTGAAGTCAGCAAAGGATGACCTTGGATTTCCGCTTTTTTCGAAATGCATGAGTGTGTCATGAAATGAGTGGGAAAGGCATGCTTGTTTCTTTTCCTTTTCTCTTGATTCTGGTTAGAAATGTCACTCTTTGCCATAATATCCTCAAGGTGCCCTTTTTGAAATGTAACCAGTATGTGTATGCAAATATATGCAGTTATACATTCTTCATGTGTTCTAGGGACCTCATTTTGTCAGAGTTGCCTGAGATCTAATGTTTTGCTGCTTCTCCTTCACAGAATCTGATATTGATGCTGCTACTGCAATGATGCTGTTAAATACTTCCATTCAACAAGGGATGTTGGACTGTAAGCATAAGCCATTTTACTCTGTTTTTTTTCTCTACCCAGTAGACAAATGTTTTCTCTAACAAGTTTCAGGAAATTATTATGGTCTAGTTCCCAAATAGTAAAAGCAGTCAAGAAGCAATTGTGGTTTGATTACTCTTTCTGCTAGCAGCACAGAGTTTTAGAGAACCACCTTCTTTTTTTTTTTCCCCCAGTTAATTTTGTCTTTTCTGCAAAGTTCTTCCCCTGCCCTCTGTGCTGGATGGTAAGGAGTTTTTCTTAGCTAATTCTCTGTTTCTCCTACTCTTAGTTGTGATGACCTGAAGACAGCAGTACTGTGGATGGCAGTAGATGTGCACAAGATATTATGATGCTTAAACACTCATGTTCAGCTTACTTTGCAGTCAGCCAGCCATAGTGTGCTCATTTTGCAGGTGATCTCATTGAAATATTTGTTTGCTGAATGATTGTATTTTAAACAGGTGAGAAACCTCAGCCGCTGAAGACACCCAAGAAGAGGAGTTACGGCAGCGCGTTCAATTCTCCCGGTTCCATAAATCTGCAAGAGAACGATTCTGCAGCCACCAATATTGATCCAAAGGAGGATCACAACTACAGTGCCAGCAGCATGGGTTCCCAGCGCTGTGCATCTAGATCCAGCATGTCTTCCTTGTCCTCCCTTGACGAGGTGTATGAATTTATCTCCAAGACCAGCCATGATGGAAGCGATGGCAGTGAAGGATTTCACAGCGAAGTGGATACAGATGTTGACTATGAAGATGATCCTCTTGGAGACAGTGGCTATGCATCACAACCCTGTGTAGATACCTCTGAGAAAAGTCAGTCTAGCGAGAAAGCGTTCCAGGAGTTATGTCAAGAAATTGATGAGGAGCTAAAAGAAGCAGCAGGGTCTCTGCTCCACCTTGCTGGCATCCAAACGTGCTTGAGTTCCTTAATAAGTACTGCAAAGACCCACTGTCACAAGCAAAGGAAAAAATAGTATGTTTCTCAGTGTTGAATATATACATATATTTTTTTTAATTGTGGCAATACTCTTCTACTTTACCCTTCACAAGGGAGATCAAAGCCATAAGAGGACTCATTGCTTTTTTATTTTTGGCACCAACTATAATTTAGCCATTTATTTTTAAATCACTGCCTAAAAAGAAAAAAAAAATATTTAATCTTTGCAAATTAGAAGAGATGCGTGACTTGTGAAAACCTGAAAGCATACTTCTTAATGATCACTTTTTATTTCTTTTTAATATTTGCTTTTATTTTTTTTTTCCTAGAGATAACGTTTGTTCAGATGCACATTGTGGTTCATATTTGCATCTCTGCTGGCCCCGTCTGCAGAGGTGAATTTTGCCCTGAAGACTCTGATTTCATGTAAAGAATTAAAAAGGAGGATAAATAAGAAAGGGAAAAAAAACAAACCCAAATGTCCTGGCCTTGGTTGCCTCCTCCCACTTGTCCTCTCTTCACTCTTCTGAGACAGGTCCTGTGGAAGCACTGGTGAAGCAGCTCTGAGCAGCTGCAGTTCTCAGCCTGGCTGACACAATGGCTGAAACCTGTAGCACTCCAGGAGCTGCTTTCAGCAAGATGTGAAGTACCACCAGAAGAGTGGGGATAAGGGGTAGCTGAGGTGGGTGCCACTCACAGTTGTTTTTTTTTTTCCTCCTTCCCCCAAGTCTGGTGTGTACAAGTCAGATTCCTGAAGGAAAACAGCTGATTTTTTTCCCCATCTGAAGACAAATTGGTTTTGGGGGGTGTAGGTCCTTCTCAGGCAGATGCACACATGCATACACGAGCTGTGGATGTAGCCAACAGTAAAAGCTGCCATGTGCCAAGTTTGATGTTCTTGTCTTCCCACCGCTGTTGTATATATAGTAGCTGTGCAGTCCTGCAACATCTACCCTTCTACTCCTCTATAGCAATCTGGGGAGTAAAAACGAAGCCAACAGTTAATGGTGGTGACAACATGGACTAGCTGGAGGCTTCAGGTGGCCTAGGTGTTGAATGACTGCTGAAAAGGGAACGAATCTGATACAAAATAGAATAGCTTCCTTTTGGATTAGTGAACCCTGAGTTGCTTTTGTGATTTTTGCCCCTTCCCCCAAAGCTTGTTGGTTTTGTCACATAGGCTGTCCCTACCTTTAGTTTCCCAGATCACTGTGCCTTGTGCTGTGTGAGTCCTGCCAGTCTCCTGCTGCATCCATCTATCAAGCAAGGCTAGCCTTTAGTCTTTGGATGTACATTGTAGCTCAGGAGGACCTCTCTGTTATGGGAAGAATTTCCTTCACAATTCATTTTTGCAATAAAAGAATCTCTTTATAGTTCCCAGACATCCTTTGGCCAAAAATGTTTTCAAGTTACAGTAAGCTTTTTTCCTCTTTTAAAAAAAAAAATATTTTATTTTAAAATCAGCAGTGATTGCTTATATCCTCTTGTAGATGATGGCTTTTGGGTTTTTTTTAGGTTTCTGTTCACAAATGGGTAAGCAGTTCTGTTGGAGTAGGTTTTAACAATACTGCAAGTCTAAGGATGCCTTAAGTATGTCGCAGAACCGTATACAACTATCAAAGGTCACCTTTCCCCTTTCCAAAAAGTAGCATGATGTGCCATAAATGTGCTCCCTAACACATGAAGCTATTCCTCCCAGCAGATGTTGGACAAGCTGGTTGAAAATTAGGAGCAGAGCCACCTAGGAAACCGGTGTCAACTGCTTTGGTCCTTGAAAACAGCACTGGATCAGCCAAAAGTTACCTTTTCCCCAAAGGGGTATTTTCCAGCTATTTGGAGGCCTTGCTTAGATCAGTGTGGTTTTCTGATTTTCATTTTTTTCTTATTTGTCAGTCTCTTAATGAATACTGCCATAAACTGTCTACTTTATATACAAACACAGCCATGCTGCTGAAGGTCTGTTGCTCTGAGGGCCTGTTCTAGTGCCTCTTGAAGACAACAGTGGTGCTCCCACTGACTCAATGGCTGTTGAATCAAGCCTCAATTCTCTGAGTTTCTTTGTGTTTTTTGGAATTTAAAGCCAATATTATTTTTTTAAACCACAAACACTAGAAAAATAAGTCATGATTTGTTTGGTTGGTTTTTTTCCCCAATTACTTCAGTTTTAAGAACGATTTGGTTTA